GGACAAATCGTACTACAAAAATGGTATCGAAAAGTTGGAGGATCGCTATAATCAGTGTATCACCCTTGAAGGGAATTATGTTGAATAAAAAAAACGAATTTTGCAAAAAAAATGTGTTTTACTATTTTAGGCCGGGGACTTTTCAATTGACCTGTTATGTAATGCAGATCTTGTAGTAGGCTGTGAAACTGCAGATGCGTTTTATATATTTGTTATAATTTAAATTATTATAACTATGTTACAAACTGTAAATAGATAAATTGATAAATAAAACACTCGATTATCTTATCTAATCTAATCTAGTAATTTATCTATACAGACGTCACATAGGTTTTTTTGTGCACAGTAATCTATACAATCTATACATCCAGCATACACGTAAGTAAAATTAAAGTTTCTATCTGTCATAAAAACATGATGGCCTTTTCTAGCTTATACGGTTATTTGTAGTCGATTAAGACATAAACAATCGTTAGAAACATTTTCGTCTGTCTGTCTGTCTGTTTGTCTTTCTGTACGCCTAATGTTCGAAACCGATATCGATGAAACTTTACTAGTAGATATTTTTTTTCATAAGTTAAACAGAGATCCAGTCTGTAGTTCACTAGCAATTCGAAATATTTGCTGCTCTTCGACGTCTGCAATCAATTCATTATCTGCACTTACCTTAATATATCTTAATATATATAAATTACGTGTCACGTTGTTTTTTCGCGATGGACTCCTAAACTACTTCACCGATTTTAATCAAATTTGTACACCGTGTGCAGTTTGATCCAACTTGAAAGATAGGATAGCTTACATCTCAATATAGTATATAAAGTAAGGGAGTTTGGTCACGGTGGGTGGACGTGGATGGCGAAAATGTGAAAAAATAAATATCTGTCCTTTTCTAACATATGAGACCTTTTGGAAAGTTCTAAAAATTTCTGAAATGATCCAGAAAACTCCGGAATGTATGCAACTGTTACAATCGATCTAGAATGTTCTAGAAATTTCTGGAATGATCTAGAAAGTTCCAAATTGTGTGCAACTGTTAAAATCGATATGCAATGTTCCAGTAAGTTCTAGAAATATCTGGAAGGTTCCAAATGTCCGCAATTAATTATCAAAGATTTCTAGAATTTTCTAGATTTTCTCCAAATATTCTACAATATTCTAGAACGATCAACTATTATTAAGAAATTTTATAAAGGTACAGGGTGGTATCTAAGATAGAAATCTATATTATCTACTTTAAAAAGTGGACCCTTAAATAATTTATATACCATTAAACATGCGATGTATTTTAACCCGAGCAACGTCGGGTTTCGCTGCTAGTATATACAATATTATCAGTGAAATATTTTTGTTAAAAGGTCATATTCCAGTATTTTTGAAACTAGATATATTGTTCATATTAAAAGCAGCATAATAAATATATTTCGAGAATTGAATCAGATTCTAAATCATTACAATTTTGCCGTGGTTCGAAGTCATCCAGTTATTCATAACAGCTTTATATTGAGCTTTGACTGTCACATAAAAGTGTTGTGGGTAATGACTGCAGTGTAGTTTAGCATACTTTTCCAGAATTCTTCAAATAATCTGCCAGGGAACGTCCTACATCTGCGCTAAAAAATTGTTTATTGCCAATGTTCGGTTTGTACACAAAAGACGTATATTCAGACAATATAGCTTTTACGACCAACTTTTGCAAATGCAATTTGACTATATTAAAGGTTTTGACAGCCGATCTTAGAGAGTTTTTCTGCAGGACTTCATTCACCGATTCTTGTATTTTATCTACCCCTATGCGAGTTTCGTTTCAAAGTGAAATGACGAATGTACTACTAACAATAAGTAAAAAAACAGTTTCAGGATTACTCCAATAAATTAAAAAATTTAATAAAATGAACAACATTTAAATTGCAGCAGGATAGTGTTAAGAAATTAGGGAGTAATTCAAAAGAGTTGTGGAAGTATGTTAACGATAAACTTGGCAAATATAGTGTTTCGGTGATGGTGTTTCAAAATAAACACATCAACACCGTGAGCTATGTTTTAATTAAAACAAGTACAGAAAAAATACAAGTTGCAAAAATGGTCACTGAAATGTCACGTTACGAGTTCTTGGTACCAAGGTTGAAATACTTGTCCTCTTTTATGAATTGGTACAATTAATATATACATAGAGGGGTAGGTACGCCCTTCGACAAACAGAGATGGTAACGCCCATTCGGTTCTGAAAAATATTGAATTTGAATTAGAAGATGCCGACAAGGTTTAGGAAAGTAGGTAATTGTACATTTGCGAACCATCCCTGTTTGTTGTTATCCAGTTCAAAGAGACTCCCAGACGTGCCTATGAATAAATATCTTCAAAGTGATAATAAAAATTTGTACAAACTAACACCTATCGTAAACTAATATAAATATAAAACTTAACTTACAGCACGACTTCTTAATATTACAAAAATATGTACAATGACTATACACAATAACTATATACAATCAACAAAGACCGAACATATAGTAAGACTAGGAGCAAATTTAGTAGTATTGAAGATAGGAACTTTGTAATTGATAACGATCGTAACAAGGCTGGATATTTCAACAAGTATTTTTGTAGTGTTGGTGAAAAACTTGCAAAAAAAATAAAATCTTTTGATACATCTAGAAATAATATTTTGCATATTAATAAAGATTCGCACGAGAGTGACAAATGTAGTTCAAAAGAGATTCTAGCTATTATTAAATAATCAAAAAATACCTCAGCATTAGTTCTTATTGGAAGCTATCTAAACGATAGATCTGAGATTTAGCTCCAGGGGTACCACAAGGTACAATATTGGGACCGCTTCGTTTTATCATATTCATAAATGATATAGTTAATTCAGCAAATGATGTATCACGCGGATGTGATTGAGAATGTATCAAGAGGAGTGAACGTTGTTTAATAACACTTGCTGACTAACAAATTATGAAACACTTTGACATTTAATATCAAATATTAATGTGAAAATTCATTTTTTCAATCTTTCACCCACTACAAACTACCTCAGGTTAATGAGGGAAAATTGTTGCTGTTGTCACACCCTCACCGGGAACCGCACCCGGGAACAGTAGTTCGACAGATCTGTGACCTAATAAGTAAGGTTTGTTGTTACTGTTAATATCTCTCGTAGCTTAGTGATCAGAGTATTGGCGCATTACGCCAAAGGTCCGGGGTTCGATTCCCGGCGGGGGTGCGACAACAGCAACAAAGACTAACAAATTGACAGCTAACACTATTTTCATAACTATCGCCAATGTTACCAACAAATATGGAGTTATACCTCCTCAATGATATACGCTAATAAGAACAAAAAGTACCTACTAAATATTTGGGTGGTACAACTGACCAACACACGATTTAGGTTCAGCATGTTAATTAGGATAGTTTGAATCGGTTGAAATACCTCATTTGTTTTTTCTGGACTAAACAAAACTATGAATAACAGAACTTACCAAATGGGTATGACCCTTCCACCGGCGCTCTCTACAAATTTTACATAAGATGCAGCAATAAAACTATCGTATCCCTCATTTAAATAATCCCTGACAGAATACGTCTCCTGAGACAAAATTCCAATAACAGGAGTTTCCATAAGTCCTGCAGCAACTTTCATCAAATAGATGAAAAGGAGCAGGAAGTAAGGACTTATTCGTTTGCAAACCATATTTTGTCATAGATCTGCACAAGGAAAAATCAAAAATTGTACTAAACCTTCAATGAGACTTATTCTTTTAATGACACATCGAATATGTTATCTGAAATATGATAACGTAAAATAATGATAATGTCTCAAATGTGCATAAGAACTCATTGTTATCTTAAAATCAGACGATGTTTATCTTTGGGCAACTACAAATAAAGGAGTTTCTACAGTATAAGCTACTGAACCGATTCTGATCCGTTTTCGATTGGAAAAGCAAAGGCTTTCAGAAAATGCTGATACCTACCATAAATCTTGTCAATGCTTTCTTTTTTTAAAAAGAACCGATTTTCCAACTTTCAAAAAATCTGTTTTCGCTTAAATGACTGATTCTAATTTAACTCGAGCATGCTTTGAACAAAAATAAAGATGTGCTTATAAAAAAAAAATCTCAGGCTATTGCAGCAAATATGCTGGCACTTAATATCGCGATGGATAAATTGAAATCCTACGGCATAACTTTATTAACAGATACCTCTAGCACAGATCAATAAAATTATTTCCTATTTTAATAGCAACAATTAAACAAATGACGGTTAATAACAATCTACCATTGGAACAAACATTGCCCATTTGTTGACATTCGACAGGACTTCGATTACCAACTCCTTTTTTGTAGTTCAAATATCCGATAAGTTTATCACTGATTATTGAACAAAGAAATTCGAAGTGGTCAGTATTCTGTCAAAACTGCCAAACGCGGATCGCGATTTCGATTTTGTTGGATCTCATCAGCGCGTCGAATACTAACCACTTCGAATTTCTTTGCTCAATTTTGATAACGTGCCTATCACGTAATGGTGAGCTACGCCGTGGGTTCAGTTCAGCAAGTAGATATCCATCTATTTAAATGGACTTTGTTGAGCATAATAAATTCCACTAAATGTAGCATTGTACTACAGATGGCGTTTACCGCGCCATTTGTAGGATTTCATGCAGGCGGTAGATTATATATTTATATTTGTAAATCGGAGTTTTGTAACTGTTGCAATGAATTTATAGAAAGGTAATTTCACTTATAAATACTTCTTAAGTATTGCAAATGAAGCTTCAATAATGTTTTTATAAATATGTAGTATAAAAGTTGCAGATCACACTATTATTCCAGAATTTTACTGCATAATTTATAAAACAATTCAAATAATATTTATAATACATTTAAAAGAGCTACAGAAGGCAGCTATTACCCGAGTAGCATTTAGAGTATGGGTGAAATATGGCCCAAACTTGTACGCCAGATTTTGAAGTACAGCCATATCTAAAAACACCTGATACGGCCCATATCTAAAATGTAACGCCTTGGCAGATATGGGCCGTATTAAGTAATAATCTCTGGCCCGGAACAGAAATCGTAATCAGGTCCATACATAAAATTAAATTTAGGCCCATTAAATGAAATAAAATTAGAACCTAATAAGATTGTAGATCCAGCCGGGATTACGTTTACAGGTTTTGTCCATCAGTGAAAAATATATATTATATATTGATTACAATAATACTTGATGGGAAAATATAAATCTCGATTTAATTATTTACACGGAGCAATAATTAGAAAAGAATATGTGATCCTTTTAAAAACGATAGCTGTACTGCGTTAAGTTAAAAGAAATATTTAACGGATTGAATAGGTATGTGAGAAAAGAGGGATGACTCCTCGAGCAACACAAGTCGTCAATATTAACTGTATATATATTAACTATAGGTTTATGTATACATAAACCTCAGCGCGTAATATGTTAGATATCTAACATATGTTTTACAAGTGACCCAAATTAGCCACTGACATATACTGTAGTTTTTATTTTAACAACAATCCTTTTCAAAGAATTATCACATAAACTACATGCATATTTTTTTTACATTTATAAATATTTTAACCAGTAAAAATGGTAAAATATTTTTTTAAATAGATAGAAAATTATCATTACTTTTTTAACAATGTTTGTTAATTTAATACAGAAAATTATTTTAGAAATATGTAAATACATACTTAAAATATAAAAACATTGAATATGGTTAAAATAAAAATTATAATATTAGGCCCGGATCAGAAAACTATTGTTTTTCATATTATGCATTAATTCCGGTTGATGAAATTAGGCCCATTTTTTAAAAGGAAGGGAAATCGTAAAACGGGTTGCCAAAGGCAATGAATATCCGGACCTGAAAATAAAATGCATAATATGGAAATTTTCATATATGCCGGATCAGGCCCAATAGAAAACGCCTTAAAACGGTTAGCCTTAATATTGCCTTATCCGGCCCTTATATATAATCCGGTTAGCCGTACTTATTTGCTACTCGGGTAGGCAACTATAAAACAAAAAAACTTACAGGACAACTTTGCTCTCTGATAAACGTTCTACGAGAAAAAACTTCAACCATTATAAAATTGATTTATAATTTTGCTTTAAGAACATTCTTAGATATGACCTAGTAATACAGCAATGTTGTTGTTCTTGTTAACTAAATTGTATTACTTAGAGTAATCGTAAGAGTGAACAGCATTTCTGGAACTTTTAAAATACCTAAAACACTGTCTGGATTTAAAACAGAGAAGTGTGCTAGGTGGGATGTTAGTACAGAATTGAAACGCTTTTAAAATAACATGTCAGTTAACACCCCGAAGACGAAGTCTTCACTATGTGCAATACCAAGTACGTATTTTATGAACAATTGGTAATAAATAATGTTCGTCGATAATAAAATCAACATACGGTTTGATTCGAATAAATTATACGGTAATATATTATGATAAAGGTAAATATAGCTTTTGTTATCTCATTTGATTATATTATTTTAATTTATGTAAAATATGACTGGCACTAATCACATGACGCCATCCAGCGGCTCTTCTCAACAACATCGAAATTAAAATCCTAGTATTGATTAATTGATGAACATTGTGAATTTTAGCATGCTTGTCTAAATTACTTTTAATTACATTAAACATTCCAACATTCCTTTTAAAACACATATTTATATTTATTTATTTTACGTTAAATATGACAAAACAGCTTAAACATATGCTTGTAGATTGACCTACGTTAATAAATTGTTTGTACAATATCTTTTTGCAAAATTGACTTTCTTTCGGTAAACAAAGGTGTCAGTATTAAAATAATTTCTAAATACAATAACAGTGTTCCCTTCAGGGACTACTTTTTACGTCAATACAAGACAAACCACTTTAATAAGGTATTCAGTTATCGATATCCCGTTTAAGGCAGATTTTCACCCGCGATTTTCCTCGTATAGCAAAAAATAACGATATTGATAATCCATTAAAAGTAAAATTAGAAAATAAAGAGCTTAGGTATAACTATAAATTTAAAATTGACAAAATTACTCACATGCATGATTATATTATGAAAATTTAAGATTCTAGATATTGGTTGCCATGCAGCATTGAACTAGAAATAAACAAACTTGATTCACCGCTCACTTATGAAACTGTACGCCAGCACCCTCCAACCATTAAATGAAAATAGGTCAAAACTTGGCTACACGTCAAAATAGCTTTATTTTAGTAACGGTGTAAAATACACGTAATGCGTGCACTACATGCAATAACTGCATACGATAAACACCATTACTTATACCCATAAATAAATTATTATCGTATTGTCTACCTGTCTTTTATCTACATCAGTGCATTGTGACTACAAAATTAATTGAAATTGATCCTAATCAATAACTGCATTTTAAACAAAGCGACACGCTAAAAAATAACAGATTGTACTTGATTTAGACAATATTATACGAGAGAGTTATTCAATTAATTTTTTTTTTGTTTTCGGGAAAGAGGGGAAATCTTCAAAAGACACCCTGCCGTGTAGTTTTGTTATCTGATTTATGATTTTTTGTGTGTGTTACTTGTGTGTGTGTTTGTGTTTAGTTGGGTTGGTTTTGTGGTTATCTGATGGAGTTGGGTAGGGAATTAAGGTGGTCGATGAAATCATCGGGGAGATCTGGGGTAATGGACAGGAGTCGGGTTTTATTAATTATATCTATGCATATATATAAAAGAATGTCGTCGTAGTTACACTATTTATAACACAAGAACGGCTGAACCGATTTGACTAAAAATTAGTGGGGAGGTAACTTACAACCAGGAGAAGGACATATGATACTTTTTATCCCGTTCCCGTGAAAAAAAAAACGTGGTATAAGAAAACGCAACTGGCATGGAATGACAAAACGCAAATGACAGCGAAACGAAAAATTTATGAGTCAAAACATCAGTCTAACCGTTCATTTGTTAAAAATGGTATAAGAAAACGCAACTGACAGCTAAACGTAATGGTTAATGGTCTACGGTTAAGTATGGTGTTTTATTTTCAGTTAGATTTACCAGAAACTTGACTCTAATGCTTTTTCGTATAAAATTAGTGATATACCTACATACCTATTTTAACATTTTACAAAAATCTACCTCTTTAGGAAGCTGAAAGGGGTTTGCAAAGGTTGCATGTTTGTTTTCGGTCCGATTTACTTCAAACTGGTTAAAACATTCAATCTCTGTTGGGGGGTGATGAGTGGTGAATAGCAGTTGCAATGTTTAAATGGAACATACGAGGGTGGATTGATAAGTTTCCGGCCTGACCAAGAAAAACAAGGTTTTTAAAAATTTTTTTTTTTTATTTCTCAACATAATCTCCTCCAAGGCTGATACATTTCTCATAGCGGTGTTCCAGTCTATTAATGCCATCTCTATAGACTGATTCGTCAAGCTCCTCAAAATAACCATTTACAGCTTCGATTACT